AGCATCGCTTGCTCTACTGTGCTTCGATTAAAAGCACCCACCCACCACCAGAAGTTGAGCTTCGCATCGCTTTGTGTAGAGGGAGAGGGAGCTCACGTCGCTTTGCGTATCTCTTTTAGGCTCCCAAACAGCTCCGAAGTGCAGCACCTCCCCTTCCAACAGCTCCGAAGCCCTCCGCGCGCCCTCAAAACTGTTTCCGATGCAGCACGCGCCCTGTTTGCAAGCACTTTAGAGCCCCTAAGATTACAAGCCCTACGGCCTCCAGCCTTCAAAATCGACAGACCCTCAAAGTACCGAATTCTACCCTATGTCTCGAAACCAGGCCTGTAGCTATCACAGAGTGGGAGATGACAACACCCTCCCTAGAGAGAGCGCTGACGCCCAGAGATAGAAACTGTTTTACAAAGCTTTAAAAAGCGGTGTTCCTGCCGCAGTTCGCATTGCCTATCTGCTGATATTGATAAGCAAAGAGCCGGATGGCCAATTGACGTCTGCAGAGCGGAAGCTCACTACACTGCTCTCTTTCTTTCTTGGGTGGGCTCGGAGCCTTCAGCGTAAGGGAAGGGGGTGGTGGGTGTAGGAAACGGCCTGCCACAGGAAACGGCCTTGAAGCATCAGACTCTGTTGTTCCTGTTTTGTTACTTTGGAGACCAAAAATTCGCTTTCAACAGAATTTGTTTTCTCTGTGCCTGTTTTTGTTGGCAAAGATTAGCTCTTAATCGTGTTTTGCTGCCCACTTGATTGCTGTTCTAAGCAACCAAAGTTTGCTCGGCCAAAATATCTGGTTTAGAAGCCACTTTTGCAACAGGTGGAGATAACTTGGAACAGCTCCAGTTCAAAATGCAAGAAGCATAGAGCGCTTACATTCGAGATCGGGTGTGGTGGACATCGGTGTTTTATATTTTGACGACAATGTGTGCGTTTGAAAACTCTTCACCCGCTCTCTCGTCTCCATTAACAAAATCAAAAGCCAGATATGACATTGAGTGTGCAACCCATTGTGTGATGTGCCATTTCCACACCCGGAAGCACTGGTTGTTGCACAAACCGAAGCCGGTTCCGGTTCCCGACCTTCCGTTTGCTTTTCTTTCGATTGTTCTTTGCTTGAACATTCCAAAACATGCTTACACGCTTGTTGCTCGAGGTGGCAAGTGCTGCAATGTTTTCCGCGATTCCGGTCGGCGAAGCGAGGACGACCAGTGCAATCCCTCGCGTCATGTCGTACCTGTTGATCCGTGTAAGCACGAAATTTTTTGTTTTGGATGATTGGCGCAATTAAAGATGTTTTTTTGGATGTTTTTTTGTTTGCCTTTATGCGTGTGCTGCAGTGTTTTCGGGTTTTTATCCGGTATCGTTACTAGGCTATCAGATATCATTGGTGTTGTTACACGCACCGAACCGCCGGGTTGAGGTCAAGCCAGCACTACGACAACAATATTGAACTTTTTTGAAACATATACCCACAATGCATGTGGTAGGAGCTGCTTGGCAGATAGCTTGTTGTTTCGACGCAATGAGGCATGTCCCGAGCTGATAAACAAGTTTAGGTGATGACCGAAAGGAAACATGTCTGTGCGAAATACCGTTTATGGGTTTATTATTGTCTGGCAATGCTTTGAATGGATGCCATATCTTAGTGCCATGAGCATGGCCTTTGCGAATGCCCAAGTCTCGGCCTCAGCAAACATGCACATATCCGTCGAGGTATGATATACATATTTCTAGATGTTTGTCTCTGGGTCGTGATGATGCCAGGTGCCGTGTGAAAGGCCCGAGACAGCGCTTGCGGTGTCACAGGAAGCAACCAGTGCTTAGAGTTTATGGATCCGACAGTCTCCCAGCGCAGGACATTGATTGGCATTTCGATGTTCCCAACGAGCATTCCAACCAGGCCGGCATTTTGGTGTTTTGCAACACTTCCATCTCGCGACATGCATGACGCCATGCAGGTAAACCCGACATCTCGGCGTTCGCGTTTGTCTCCGCATCCTCTGTTAGTGCCGAAGCAGGCGAGACCCCAGTCTTCGCAACGCTTTTTCCGAGTGTCAGTATGCAAACAATGCAGATTTCGAGTGTCCAGGATCTTGTGGATCCCGATGTGTGCCGCTCTCAGTGCAATGTCTTCTAGATTTGACCTTTCCACCAGGCTTTCAATCACCAGCATCGAGATATCCTGCATGTTAGGAGCGCACTGCTTCCATGTGTTCAGGGTGACGGGCGTGCAGATGCCATCTACGCCAGCCAGGAAGTGCGCCACCACAATGCAGTGACTTCATCTCTGTTGCAAGCATGATTGCAAAGCCCCTCGCTCGATTTCACTTTGTGTACAGTGCAAGCCCGAGTTGAAGCACGAGGTTCAAGCTTGATCGGTTTCCATTGTGCAGTGTTGGGCATGGCCATATGTAGCAAAAGGACACTTTACCATGGTGTTCGCACTTGAACACGTATGCAGCGCCACTAGCTAGATATAGCTCGGATATGGTGTGCACCCAGTGCACCCTGCTTGTGATTCTGCTCGGGCCTCTCCTGCAGCCTTCGCTGCTGTCAAAAACGCTTTCCTGATGGATGGTGCATCATGTTTTTTTGCAAAGGTCTGTGCTGCAGCTGCGTGTTGTGGCACGGAGCATATTAGATGTGCCATGGGAGGCCATGATCGAGGGTTGCGACATGTTGGGCTAGGTCCTAGGTGTTGACAAGCGAACTGCAGGCTCGACGCACAAACATCGTGCGAGTTACCCGTCCGGAGCCAACGTAGTCATTGTGGGAAGTCAGAGTGTTATCAGCTCGTGTACAGGTCAGGAGTGTGACGAGTGTTCTACTCTGGATGATCTGTACAGGGCTTTCTCCTTAGTCATACGAAATCCTGCTGCAAGTCGTGAAGACATGGGGGTACATGTGATCCACGAAGGACAACCATCTCGTGTTTCTGTTGTTCCACGAGCGAAACCTCGTGTCGCACCATGCCTACAAGGCTTTTTACAGTGTTCCATGGAGCCAGCTGTTTTGATGCATAGCCTGTGCGGGACAGGGAGCTATTGTCGCGGGCTTCCATGAGGTGAGAAGCACTTACGACGAATGCAAGTTCCAACATTTGCAGAATTTCAAATGTCACGTCAGCAGATGTTGCAGTGCACGCGAGGTGTGCAAGGATTTGCGCTGGTCAAAGGTGGCTTCGATTCAAGACGTTTGCCGCATTTCGTGTTGTTCGTGTTTGTGTTGTTCGTTTTTGCATGGCGGCAGGTCACTTGTGGCATAGTGGACATGCTCGAGGCGGATGTTTATCGAGCGCACAAAGCGAGCCGTGCGGTACTTGTGCCAATGGCAGGACAGGACATATGCCGAGAAGTATATTGATCCTAAGACGGCTCCGGCTCATATTGCAGTGCAGGTCTGTTGCTTACGAAGCGACCAGCAAGCGGACAACTAGCATCTCTTTTTCTTCTTTGTGGCGTGCTGCAGGGCGGGGAACCGGTGCCCTCAAAGAAAGAGTGGATCCAGAAACTCTTGGCCAAACCTGGCGACAAGGACCTGCTTGGATTCTTAGTTCTGAAGTGTGGCAGAGCTTTTTCATTTTGTCTAGTTGCCACAGCGGTCTTTCTGCTGGCCAGGGCACCATGCTGTGGCACTTGAAGCAGCAACTGGTGCCTGACGAGGCTAGACTCGGCTAGACTCGGGCAGACCGTTTCAACGACCAGCCTGCCTTGTTGCTTTTCGCTTGGGCCCTTTCTGCCAGTTGGGAGAAGCCCTGCAGATTTCCATGGAGATCTCGAGACTTGACTTTTTGGAGCCCTTAGCCAACAAGCACGAGGCCCGCCTAAGGGCTGCAGAGGTTGTCGTCTCCTCGGGGTCCTTGCCTTTGCGGTTCGCAGGTCCTCCTGGTTGCCAACTTGGCATCTGAGGGAGGAGCCTCGCGGGCTTCGGTTGAGTCGTTCCGTGCCTAATGCCCAGATACCTCCCAGGTCGTTATCGGACGTGCATTCAAGACCTCCGTTGGACATGTTGAGTGAGGCCTTCGCCCAGCAGCTGCTGCTCCTCGGAAAAGTGCGGAGCGCAGGTTTATGAGCTCTTCCGGCTGCAAACTGTTCGTTGCCTTGGCCAAGAGGTGCCTGCTCAAGTTCCTGTCAGCCAAAAGGCAGGCGCTTCAAAGTTCCTGTCTCAGATGTGTTGTCAGCTGCAGCAAAGGGGCACTTGTCGACATAACCCCCCGATCCTACACTGCCAGGAAAGCAGGTAAAAAGCAGCAGCAGCTGCGTCAGAGGGCTCGACTTTTATTTGCTGTCTTGACGCGAGCCTGGTTCCCAGTGCAAGTCAACTTCAACTTCTGGCTTGAATTCTGGCTGTTCGGAAGGATTCACCGTCGGTGTCTGTACCTCGTGGTCAGGCATAGTGTCCGATGTTTGCCCGCTGGTGAGAAATTGACTTCTACAGCCTTGTACAGCCTTGCAACTTCTCAGATCGCTGCTTTCGTTCGCGGCCAGAGCCAGCGGCCCTGACGTGCTTGAGAACAGTGACATTTTTTCACAGATGACAGAGATGTCCAGCCAGGCCTGCGCGGCAGCTCAAGGCGTGTCGTGTGGAGCCCATGAAGCGCCACAATGCGGTTCGTGAGTGGGGCCAAGCAGCACATGCGGCAGGCATGGGACTCTGCAGAGAACTTGGAGATCATGAAGGCTGTGCAATGCTGTGCACATGCAAGAGAAAGTAGTTATGCAGCATGTATGTTGTTCCGCGCAGTGTGACTGTTATGCCGTTCAGTATGCGTTTACCTTCGAGGATGTTGTTCTCGCAGCCATCAATGCCATACCCGCTGGAAAGGCACAGAACAATCTGCAGATGCCTTCATTCCAAAGGCAGCATTTTGTCCCCACTTGCAGGTGCAGTCAGAACGAGTTTCTGACCTCTGACGGGCCCAGCGCTGTGCCCGCCAGTTGTGTTATGCCCGGCGAGGCCGTGCGGAAATAAAGGACGGACCTTTGGAATGACAGCTTCCTGGATGTCTGCATCCCCAGACGTTTGTTAGCGCAGTTATGATCTGCTGCTTGAACCAAAGACTTTGCGGCACTTTGACGGCAAATACTGCCGGACTTTGAGGCTGCACGTAGAAAAGAAGGGAAGCTGCCGGGTTAGCTCTTTCTGGTACTGGCCTGATGACAACCTTCTCCAACGCTGCGCAGAGCGTTCCAGACATGCTCCCCTTTCTCTTCACCGCTTTCCTGCCGAGCATCGATTATCAAGGCGGGAATCAGGATCTGAGATCAAAGACACTCCATGCCTGTGAGTTCTTACATGCAAGGCCCCGTCTGCAAGTGGAGGCGAGAAGGGCTTGGAACAAACGCAACCAGCAAGTGACACAGCCGAGCGACTCTTGGGCAACGCAGTGCAGGCTGGGCGACCCCTCTTCAAGTGCCAAGGAGGCACAGGGTAAATCGGTGGACAAAATGCACGTTACGATGTTTGTCGCCACTCCCATTATGGAGTCTAAGTCGCATCGCAAACAGGCCTATGTGGAACCGAGGTGGCTCCACTTCCAAGGAGCCCTCCACCGCTGCAAACTCGTGAACTGATGATGTCGGCCTGCAGGACACAGAGCAGCAAAGCCTGTTGGGAGCCGTGGCAGGTTCGAAGCAATGATGTCGTTTTCGTGTTTTGCATTTGGCAGTGCTCTTGAAAGGCATCTATGCGGAGCTTTTGAAGGCGACATGGTTTCGAGCGTGCAGTCTGGTGCCACAGCATCCAAAACAAGATTTGCTGCACAGGGCGCAGAGTGTGGGGTCCCAGAGTCGGTGACCTACGACAGGTGAGGGCCCAATTTGGGGGGCTACGGTGCCTGTCCGCCCCAGATGTGAGAGCTGTTTTTGGTAAAGGAGGTTCCGTCATGCTTTTCGCAGCATTGGCACGTGTTTGATATGCAAGGTCGTGTAGGCACGTTTCTCAAAGCAGCGCATTGATCCCAGTTCTGTCTGACATAGAGGGCTGTGTGGACGAAAGCCGCAGATTTCCTCCGATCTTGACCGTCGGTGCAGTTCAAAACAGCAGATGAATCCAAGTCTTGTTTGACACGCCTGTGTCGGTTGCCCAAAGCGACAGATTTGCCCCAAATCTTGTTTGGCACACATGGTGGTTGGGCCCAAAAGCAAAGCCACCTGCACACTACATACGTACGAGGTCAGCAGAGATCGACTTGTCTCACGAGTTCCCACCAGAGCAGAGGGAGGCACAGGTTGATCCAGAGGCACATCATGGAACGAGTTGCCGATAGGACTCAGCTCGCTTTGCTTTTCGGCATCTTTATGAGCTTAGCCTTAGCCGCTCTGCTTGCGTCAGTGGTTGAGAGCCGTCGCATGTTTCGGGTGATGAATTTGGGGTGAGTGGGAGGCAGCGTTTCACCGCCCACTGCGCGTTGGTTTTGCAGAGACAGCATCAATTCAGGCAGGGACACAATTGACTCTCCGAAGTGTCAGAGTTGGAAGTTTCAGGTGGCCACCTGAGCCGCCGAAGGAGCGGCGCAGCAGGCCTTGGTGGATACATCTGGTGGCGATGGAGTGCTCCAGATGCTTCAGGTTCTTGCCTATAGGAGGGTGATGACGGTGCTTCAGGGAGCTGAGGACTGCAGGCCAAGGGGGTTCCAAGAACCTGGAGCTCGGAGCTTCCAGCGCAGGGGAAGTTACCTTCTGCTCTGCCGCCTGAGGCCCGTTCCGGGCCTAAAGCTTGAAAATGACCACAGGACACTCAGCCGGCAAAGCACCCGCAAAAAGATTCACAGCTTTGTCGTCGCCATGGATCTTAGCGCAGGGAGCCGCGAGCACCTCCAGAGAGCCTCTCCGCCCTTCCGGCCATGCAGCTGCTCCCATACCAGTCACAACAGTTGACACTGCAGGGTTGGGTTGGTGGGTTGGGTCTCGTCTCGTGCAGCTTGAAGTGGAGGGCACCAGTTTGAAGAGCAAGGCTAAGCGGTCAGCTGTTCTCATATTTTGAGGGCGCACTTCCGTCATGTGATCTTTGTGTCCGCCGGATGTGCATCGATTGCCTGGGCCTCATTGGCAAAGTCGTGCAGAATGCAACAAAGGCAGCTGCCACACGAGGCAATGCAAGTATCAAGCTCAGATTCGGAGGCCATGCCGAAGGCCCAAACGAAACCATGACTCCTTGCCCGTGCATTTGCAGCTGTGCAGGACTTGGTTGCGTCTTTCATGTTTGGAAGTTTGGATGGTTGCTCTCGTTTTTGTGAGATCAGAACTGTCCAAGCCTACGCCGAGCTTGCAGCTCCAGCTCATGGTCATGTTCCTTCCCCCTGGACACATGTTTGAAAAGGGCGAAGATGAGGAAGAAGAGGAGGAGGAGGACGACGACGAGTACATAGACGAGGCCACTCATTGATGTGATTGCAGCTGTTTATAGACTCGGTTATCAGACTGCTGATGATCCCAAGGTTGTGTCTCCTCCCTTGGTATCAAACCCGTGTGCGACTGGCATTTGCCTGAGCTCCCACAGCTGTTGCGATCGTGCGAGCTCGTGTAGCATGCATCTTTTGAAGGTCCGAGCTTGAACTTCAACTACTGGGATCGAGGAAGACAGGTCCTTCAAACCGATTTGGTGAATCTCCGAGTGCTCTGGTGCAGTTATTGGGGGCTGTTCCGAAGCACTCATCAAAGTCACAGTCTGGGATCATATGGGATCAGAAGCCGTCTGCGATCTTCTGTCTATGTGCAGTCTTAGAAATAGGGCGCCTGGGTTGGAAACCGATGCTACTGGAAGGCAAGTCTGCGGAAGCTGGCGATCGACCTGGCCAAGGCTAGACGAGGGCTCCAAATCAACATGTAGAGGATCGCGCCCGAATGCAACAAGAAGCCGCGTAGCTTCAAGCTTCCGAAACGGATGTCTTTCGTGGTCCGTGGTCTTTGGAAGTACACTTTTGCTTTAAGTGAAGGGAGCAAGCCAGAGAGCCCTTGCAAAGGAAAGAGGGCGGGAGAGAAAGAGAGCTGAGTCCTCACAGTGGCATGCGGGGGGCCCAAAAGCTAGTGCGGGAACTCGCATTAGTGCCTGCTGTCAATGCGGAGAAGAATGAAGAGCGCGAGAGAGAGAGAGATAAACGCGGTTTGACTGGGTCGAAGAGAAGACAGAAGAGAGCCCAGCCCAGATAGCAAACAAGCAAGTAGAATGGCAGCCAGGCAGGCAAGCAGGCCAGCAAGGAAAAGAGAGACAGGCCATTCTCTTCACCTTCAGAATCAGAAAGAAACAGAGAAAGAGCAAGAGGTAGAGAGAGAGACATACGAACCGTTGCAGTCCGGGTACATCTACAAGCTGTCGGCCATGCTCCGAGAGCACGATCCCAAAGCTCGGGCCCAAGCATGTCTTGCTCACCCGCCGCAGCTTGCGACAAGTGCCGCATTCAGGCTAGAGGCTGTAGACAGGCTGATTTCCTGGAGGGTATGTTTGTGACAGATGTGACAGGACAGTGCGTTTTTATTCATCATTCATTAGGTGCTCGGGTGGTGTCGTACTTGAGAACTGCCACTCCCTGGCTCAGATGCTGCTTCTACCTCCCAGACAAGACGCACAGGTCCGCAATTCGCATGCGTGGCGAACGGGGGGTCATGTATACGGCATAGCCATTTTCAAGCTACACGGTGATTTAGACTGTCATGCAGCTGTATTGGGAAATGCTGCGCTCGAAAGACGGATGGACGGACGGACGGACAGATAAATAGATAGGTAGGTAGGTAGGTAGATAGACAGATATAGACAGATAGATAGGTACATAGACAGACACGTAGACAGATGGGCTAGATTTGATAGATACACACAGATTAGACAGCTAGGATAGGGTAGATAGACTGGACAGGCTGGATAGATAGATAGGTAGATAGATACGTAGAAAGATGGGCTTTGATAGATATAGACAGATTAGACAGCTAGGGTAGGGTAGATAGACTGGATAGGTTGGATACATAAAGTATCGACAAGATAAGTTAGATACTTAGATAGATAAAGGTAGATGTGTTAGATAGTTCGATTGGTAGACGGATAGGTAGATGGATACATAGATAAGATGATAGACAGGTAGACATCAGTACCTCCGGCTTTCTTTCTTTTGCTTTGCCCGTTTGTGTTGCCTTTGGCAGGTGGGTCCTCAACAAACGCTGTTTTCTGCGGCGCAGGTCCTGTCGGAGGGCTGATCAAGGGCAGGGTGTGAGCATGAACTCAAGCCCGGGTTGGCTAAAAGTGCTCAGGCGAGTGGCCACACAGCAGTGGCAGAGGTGGTGGAAGAGGCTGCAATGATTGTGGCTGTCGTTACGTTGTAATAGTGGCAAGTGCCGGCTGGATGTCAGGCTGCCACAGATCTGCTGTTCAGGGAGTTGTCCAAGTTGACCTCGATGCAGGAGGTCGAGGATGACATCGTGCAGCAGTGCTTGCATGCAGGAGCCAATCCCACTCGTCCGGGCGGAGCTCATGGCCATCTGCCTTTGCAACATTTGTGCATTCAAGAGATGCGCCAGCCTGCAGATGTATTCACAGCAAAGAAGGTTGCGCAGGCGGCATCTCAGCTGGCAGAAGCCGCGCCGCTTGTCCTTATAATGGCCTTTGCAAGACCGGCAGCGCGTGCAGAAGCCACGCTGCCGCTTGGTGCGGCGGCGTGCAACAAGAGTTTCGGCCAAGACATTGTGCCGGTCCTTAGCTTTGCCGTTTCTCGGCTCTTGCTGAAAAGGCCTGACCTGGCCGCAGCCCCACTTCTGAAAGCCTCCGTTGAAGCCGCCCACACAAAATTTCCCAACGTTCCTTTCGTCCTGCCGCTGGTTGAAATCCTTCGTGCTGCTGCACCCTGCTTGGACAGCGCTACTGGTACCCGTGCAGGAAGGGAGGTGCAAATATGGGAGCCTCGCTGTGCCTACGAGAGCTGGACACAGCGCAAACAGAGGCTGGAAATCCTGCGGCCAATGCTCTCCCAAGTCCATCGTGCCGACGCTAGCTGTGAGCGGGAGGAAGCTATTGCCAGACTGGCTGAAGTGGAAGCTGTGCTGGATAGAAGACGTAGGCAGCATTCCGAGCAGATTGCAGAGCTGCAGATGGCACTGGATAAAGCCCAGCGTGCTGCTGAGGAGGCCAGTGCCCAGGTGCAAGCTGCGCTTTCTCAAAAATCTCAGCGTTCCTTGCAACTCCGTGCGGAGCTGCACAGCGAGGTGCATGCTGATGGCAAGAGCGATGTCAGGTTTGGCCAAAGTCTGCCAAACACCGGGTCACCACCAGATGCGCCTGCGGAGCTGTTACGCAATATTCGGCAGCAACGCGGCCTTGACATCGACTACAGCGCCTTGCCACCGACAGTGCTGCAAAGTGCTGGCGCCATGCAGCGGAGCATTGGGGTGCGCAGCCCACGTACGGGAAACGTGTTATTTTTTCTTTCGTGTATGTTTGGTTGTGCTTTTGCCTGAGGCTGCTGTCGAAAGGCTGGCCATCGACTTGTACGCCTCCAAGGGGCACTTCCTCTTGGAGCTGATCCAGAACGCCGACGACAATCGCTACAACACCTCAGGCCAGCCGTGTCGCCCTAGTGCTTCACATCGCTTGGCCCTAGAATACTGCTGTCTTTTTCCATCGACTCGGCACGGAGGCGCCGAGCCTGCAATGACATTGCACATGGGCTCCGCCGAGGAGGGGAGCTTTGCATCAGAGCACCATGACCGTGATAGCCTTAAACACACTGATAGCATATGTGGATGTGTGCGTTTCGCATTGAATTTAATATCGAGACACGGCATGTTAAGATTGCAGAAGCCTTTCTGGAATCATAGTCCTACTTTCAAAGGGAATTCTCTCTCTCTCTCTCTCTCTCGCTCTCTCTCTCTTCCTCTCTGTGGCTTGAGTCGGGCCGATGCTCGATAGGTGAGGGCAGTCATAAGCCTCTGCCGTTCTTGTGCAACAATAGTTGGAGGTAAAGCTCGACGTACACTGTACACATCGAAGCAGCCAGCTGCATGGATTCTTGAGGGAGAACCAAGGTCAGGCGTGTCTACTGCAGTCATCGTCGAATTTTTTTGCTCGCAGCAGATCGTAAAGTAGTGCCTTGTATACGGAGTGCGGCATGTGATGACGACATGCCGGCCAAGTTCGAGAAGAAGCTGAGCGATTCCGTCAGCGAAGTCAAAGATTTGGAGTCGCCCAGTGAATCGACCCCAGTTCCCAAGGAAAAACAGGCGGACAAGAACGCAACTCCAGCAAAGCGTCCCGCACAAAAGCGCGTCAAGAAGGACGTCCAGAAAGAGGAAGAAGAGGAGGCAGATGCCTCCACCAAGAAGGCGAAGCGTGCAAAGAAGGTAAGGGAAGGGCCTTACACCAGCTTCAAGCAGGGCTCCATTCCAGAGCCCCAGCTGCAGAGACGAGTCGACTTGCCCGAGGGCAAGACAGGATTGAACCTGCTGTCCTGGAATGTTGGCAGCTTGAGGGCTTTCCTGAGAACACGTACAGCAGACCTCCAGGAGGCAGTGAAACTGGCAGCCCCGCATGTGCTCGGGCTGATGGAGCACAAACTGTCAGAGGGCACGCCTGAGACGGAAAGTGCCTTGGAGGAGCTCTCCAAAGCGCTTCCAAATTACCGAGTGGCATGCGTGAATTATTCAACGGTCAAGAAAGGCTACTCCGGAACACTCATTATGCTTCACACAGAGGCACCGGAGCCTATCAGCGTGCTGGCCGAAGACCTGCCGGCTGCCGCTGGAGAGGGCCGGATGGTGGTCTGCGAGTTCTCCTCCCTGTTTCTTGTACTTTGCTACGTCCCGAACTCCGGTGATGGACTCAAGCGCCTAAAGGACCGCGTCGAGAAGTGGGACCCCCAACTGCACGAACGTTTACATGCCCTCGCAGAGAAGAAGAGCGTTGTGCTCATGGGCGACTTGAATGTCGCTCACCAGGATAAGGACATCTGGAACGTGGAGGCGCCCCATGTGCCAAAGAGCGCCGGGCTGACGCCGGAGGAGCGCCAGTCCTTCTCGAAGTTGTTGGAGAGCGGTTTCAAGGCGGGGGGTCATGGCCATGGCAGCGTGAAAGGCAGATAGCATGTGGGCTGTGTAAAGTCTCGAGGACGGCTTCGCACTGCAGCATCCGGAGGCTCTGCAGATGCATGTAGTGATCTCGGGCATCATAACTTGTCGCTCAGGCTCTGGGCGCTTTCACGTACTGGAGCGTGCGCGCTGGCAATCGAAAGACGAACCGAGGCCAGAAAATCAACCCGGGCAGAGAGGCTAGAAAGAGGAGGGTGGAGTGCTTCAGGATGCTTCGGGCTTCAGGGCTTCTACTGTACCGTCGGCGCCCTGCAACCACGGTTCTTGCAACAACCGGTGCTTGCAGGCCTGCGGTTGGACTATGTCTTGGTCTCTGATACGATGACTTCCAGAGGAGAGGCTGAGGCCCAACGCCCTACATGTGCTTCGTATGCCTCCGCCTTCTATAGGGTGATTCCACAAGCCCCGAACCAGGATGGACCCGTGCTTTGCGACACTTTCCACCTGCCGGCTGTGGCAACAGGGGATCATTGTCCAGTTGGTGCGGTCATCGCCGCACCTGGACCGCATGATGCTTGACATGCATCACACATCATCAAGCACCCGAACAGAGCGCGCAAGACAGTTTGACCAACAGGCCAGCGGTCAGCAAGGTTTAACAAATCTGACCGATGAGGTGTGATGTCGGACACTTCAGCATTACGCTGGCTGTGTGGCGGAAGCCATCTCGGAGACGATCCAACACCCGATCCTGTCGAAGGCCAGTTTTCGTCTTTGAATGTGATGCTTCGAGCAGAACATGCGAGTGAAATGCAGAAGAGCTCGGCCTGGCTTCACACTCAGGAGCGAAGTTTGCCAGGTCGGAGCCCACGAGCTCGGACGCGGGGCCGTATGTGTGTTCATACAAGGGGAGTTTCACAAGCATCGATGGAGCTGATGTGTTGTGGAATAGAAAAAGATGGCTTTGCCAGCATGCATTTATTACGTCATTTCATCGCTGGGTGCTGGTAGCGGAGCACCAGCGTCACAGACAGGACTCCTCGCTCTTCTTCGCGTCGATCAACAACGAGAACTTTGGCTGCACTGCCTAGCTAGAGAAAAAGCTTGATGAAGCTAGTCCTGCCCATATCGCGAGTCTTACAAGCTACATATTAAGCCCGCAGCTGCCTGAGAGTGAACGGTTATCACAGAGGGCTTCTTTGGTTTCACGATGTGCGAAGGCTAGGGATGACGAGCAAGGACGTCGAGGCTTTGTGCGATATCAACAGGCGCCGAGCGTGTGATGGGACTGGCTGAAAGAGGGAGCCTTTCTGCGAGGTCTACGAAGCCAGCGCAGGCCGGCTTCCGGCTTCCTCTGAATGTCTCGCGGCCTTCCCGGAGCTCTGTTCAGGCCGGAAAGATTGGGAAGAAGGGAGTTGGCCAAACCCTGATGTCACAATGGCAGAAAGCTGCGGTGAAGAGTGCCTGTCGTGAACCGGAAATCATAGCCACAAGGTTGGAAGGCAGTCTTCGCAATCAGCGACCAGCCGACAGCACCACTCTAAGGCAGCAAGCGTCGCAAGCTCGAACCAGTCGCAAGATGGCGCCCGAGGTGCTCTCTGGACCATTTCGCTTTCGCTTTGATGTAGCTTGCCCAGACATGCCCAGACTCAGACGTGCACGGTGCGAGTGATCGCGAGTGACCATTCAGTGGAAGTCACCGAGAGCAATCATAACCGATGGCCTCGCATGGCCTCGCAGACTGTGCTTCAGGTGCGTTGTCGTGGCCGCTTGGGCTATGTCACGCCTGATGACCTTAGTTGCGAGCTCAGCTTCCGGGTGCTCTGTGGCGTATGCTGCCATGTCTTTTTGCAGCAGGTGCGCAGGAACAATCCCTGCTGCCATCATTCCTCCAAGAGGCACTTCAGAGTGCTGGTCGTGTGCAAGTGACATGTCAATGGTGGAGGCTAGTTCTGGAGGGGCTCTTGGCTCAGCATGAACCTTGTTTCGAGTTCTAGGCCCAGTTGAAGCTGCAGTGGCTCCGACTGCACAGCGCGAGGCCACGGTCCTGTACCTACCGCTCCGTGGTCGCCCCGCGACGGAAGACGGAGCGAGATCTTGCCCTGTCTCAGAGCCTCACAGTTGCTTCAGGGTTCGCCAGGAGCAGCTGCTGACATGGGAGATGGAGGTCGAAAACTGTTCGCTACACTGTTTCTTTCAGCTGAAGATGGCCTCCTTTGGCAGGCCTTGGAATCGCAGCTTTAATACGAAGCTCAATGCACAGACTGCTCATGTGCCACCGACCTGGGAAAGCTTGAGAAATCCAGATGTCACAGCAGACCTACCGACTGGAGATGCTTTTTGCTGCCTTAGAGTGCCACATGCCTGTCCTTTCCACAGACATTAGCTGTAGCTGCCTCTGGCAGGTATCCAGCATGGCTGCTTTTTCTGCGCCAGCTTCGCCGCGTAGTGAGCGGACCCAGCATCCACCAGGTGGTTTATGGTGGTTAGATATTGATATTGGTGCTTGGATGTTGGTGCTTAGGTCTTGTAGAGGGCTGCTGCCCTTGTGGCAACTTATGTGTCCAGTAAATGTATGCAGGGGTCACGCGAATAGCCCAATAAGCTTCCAAAGCTGGTGTGGCAGCAAAGAAACGTCCATCGACCGTTAGTCACTCTAACCGTCAGTCCCCCACTGTATTAGCACCTGCCCACTCGGCCTATTACTGAAGGTCAGAGTCCGGGAATGTACAGAACCCAATGGCCACTTATGGAGCGTCAGATGAACCGTGCGATAGCCAGGTGATAGTCCCCGGCCCCGGTTTGAATCCATCGCCGTTGTGCTTGAGGCATGGGACGACGCAGTGTCTGCTAGGCGGGATGGTGGTCGAGCTGCTGCAATGACGAGCTGCGGTCTGGCTGCTTCAACTGTTTGCTCAGACCGCGGCATGTCTCCCTTGAAAGGCCGTGCCTCAGGTGTCCTTGCTGCTTGCTACAACGGTGCTGCTTTGGACGTTGTTGTGAGCAGGTATTCATACATGTGGGTCTGAGGCGCGGTGACTCCGTGTTTGTTCGGCAGCTGGCGAACAAAGGCAACTTCTTCGAACGAGCCCTTTGTACGTGTAAAGGCATTGAAAGGTGTGCGCTGGAACTTGAGCGGAGGTATGCCGGAGCCAGACGAGGCCTTTCCAACTTTGGCGAATGCAGGGACCAGCAGGGACCTTCTCAAGCTGCAGGAGTTCGCCTTTTTCGTTCACCGGAAAACCGGCGTTTGCACCTCGGGCGAATGCATCGCAGGATCTGTGAGGCTTCACGAGGCTGCTGAAGTCAGGTCAGCGGTAAAGCTTTATTTAATATACGGGTTGTAGTCACCAGCGCACAAGGGAACAGGTCTGGATGTTTTTGTTCGTACAACATGTGGCTTTGGCATCAGAAAGACACGAAAACTATGCTATGCTTCACACCGGCAGTCTGAACCACATCATGCTCGGTGAGCCGTTCCTACAAGGCATGTTGGCACATTACATTTCGCAGCCTCGTGTAGAGGAGATTGTGCAGGACAGACTTGCATTGCACTGAGGTTGTGCCAAGCGATTTGCTCCCGGCCGGCGTAGAGCCTGGGAGTCGAATTGAGGAGGCACACGAGCCAAGGGCACAGGGTAAGCGGCGTTTGTGGAGACGGTTTCTGCCTGCCGTTTTAGCTTCCTGCAACTGCGTGATGGAAGGTAGCCATCGCTTTCCAGCGTGCAGCAGCCTTTACCCCGGTCTCGAATTGGTTTGGTGTTCTCGTCGCCACAACCTCCGTTCATCTGGATTGGTGTAATTAGTGCTGGGAATGAGTTGCGAAAACTGCAGGATTCGGGTAAAGGAGGGTAAAGGGGCCACAGCCATCTGAGGTGCAAGACCAACGAGCAGAAGCAGCTGAGAGCCACGGCCAAGCTGACAGAGAGTCAGATCCAGTTTTCTGCTTTTTGCCAGTGCGACCCGTGGGTTTCCGATTTTCCTTGCACGCGCCGTGGTCACTAACATCGAACCGCGAGGATTTTCATTTGGAAGACCCGCGGAACGTTTGGCTGCGCGGGGTCGCAGCTAATGCTTTGGCTGAAGCGATCGCTCGGTTTGGTAGCGAACCTGGGACGAATGTGCTCACGCTGCTGGATGCTCGACGCGTGCTTGAGCCATTTTGGAGACGTTTGCTTGAAGAGGCCGTGGAGCGAATTGGCGATGCACCTGTCGTAGCCGTCATTGGAGAGTCCAAGCTCTACAGACCGTCCGAGGTGTTGGTCCCAACACCTTCGTTGGTGCGTTGCACTGCAGCAATGAGATTCATCCATGCTTTGCCTGCGGAGTCCTGGCCTGCAGCAACTGGCAAGCGGCTGGCCCGGTTGAGTGCCAATGAGGATGTGGCGGTGGAAGATGTTCGAAGATTGTTATCTCTCCATGCGGAACCCGTCTCTGCACACACGATGCGGGTTCTGCTGAACAGTGACTCCGTCAAAGCTGAGCTGACCAAGCACTGCAGGTCCAGGGATCCTCTTGGACTCGCCCAGCTTTGTGAACTATTGAGTGCCATGCTGGCTGCCACTCAGCGCGAGCCAGAGAAGGTGCCGACATTCTCCGAAGCAGGCGAGCTTCCAGGTGCCTTGGATGCAGCTTGTGTTCGAGCACAGGGTCTTGCGAGGAAGCCGCATGTGCCCCAGCGTGCCCCTGTGCAGGGGATGAAAGGCTGTTGGATGTTGTCACAGAAATCCAGCAGATGCAGGCCCTGTGCACTAGCATTGAACCGTAGCTGCGAAGAAGGATGTGTTGCAAAGGTGCTGCCTTTGGCCACTGCAGGAAGTGTCTTTCCCTCAGTCGCCCTCTCGAAAAGTCTGTGCAAACACTCCTCAACTGTGTACGGTCCAAATCGGACATGAAGTTCGGAGGCCCCTCAAATGACGAGTCTTTCAGAGGGTGATGTCCACTTGCCCGGCTCAGGCCGGTTGCACACAGTCCATTAAACGTGATGTGGCGATTCCGTTTTTCTTTTCCGGCAGGAACTTGGTGCCCTGGGCTCGATGAGGCACGATTTGGCACGATCTGCTTGAAGGCAACAGCACCACTTCCCCCATCTGCCGCAGGCTACTGCATCGACTCTTCTTGCGCACAAAGATGTGCGAGCAGCGGCCTTGGGACTTTCTTGGAAGGGGCTGAGAGGGCAAGCACCTCAGCTTCGTCTTCCCACGGCTTATGTGGCAATTTTGTTAGCGGTGCTGGATCTATTCAAGGTACGAAGGAGTGTCTGACCCCATTGTATGGTGCTTGACGATACTATGAGCACAAGGGCCAAAGCCAAGCTAAGTCCGCACGAGTATATAGCGGGAAGAGCGGCGCCGTTCAGTCGTCGACGGATTCCTCCGTCGTGTCACGTTAGTGCTTGGGTGTGTCGTTGGCTCCGTCGGTCGCTCTGGGGCCCCTCCGGCGGATGATTCGCAACTCAATTCCCGCAGCTCAGAAAGCTTAGCTTCATCGCTGAGGTGTTCGACAGTATGTCGTGGCAGTCGCTGTCCAGTGGGGGCCAGAACTTCCTGCGGCAGCCGCCTGGCCTCATTCGTGTCCCAAGTCTCGCAACGCACTGACTGGCACTTCGGAAAATCCAGGCTGGGCGTGCGGAAGGCCGGGGCTCGGCTTAAACTCTGGGTGCAGCGCTCACAGCGGTGTGAATGAAGTCTGGGTTATTGAGCTCCAAGGGGTCCAGAATATTCCGTGACAGTTCCATGATGTGGAGTGCTTCTTCTGGGTAATAATTATGACGTTGTTGCTTTACATCCACGCCGCAGCAGCGAGTGGCCTCATGCACAAGCTGCAGTAGCGGCGGCGGACTTGATGCAATGGAGGGATACCGGCTGGAGGACGTGATTGACACGCACATACATCTGAGCCAGCACTACTCTGGAGGCCTTCCGAACACCTGGCATCCCAAGGTCGGACTTGACAAAAGCATGAAGCATTCGGCATTTGCACCACGACCATGTCTTTCATCCACCCATGCCCTTCTCCATGCAAGCCGTCGGCAGAAAACCTTCTGTAAGCTCTCATAACCCCCATAAACCCGTGTAGAAACCATCTAAAACCCTGCCATAAACTTCTCTCTTTCTACCCAGCTAACACCCTGCCACAAATCCTCCCATAAACCCTCGCATGGACCCTTCTACATTGCAAACATCTTTCCAAGGTCTCTTAAGCCCGTCCATCAACCAATCGACTAATCCCCTTCTATACTTTCTTTCTGCAGGGCCTTCAATCAAAATACTTTTCTGAAAAGCCCCACTCATGCTTCCCCCCAATGTGCTGGTGTGATGCAGGAGCACGTTAAAGATGCTCCCCCCCTGTGCTGACGGGAATCACAGACCTGACCACAACGCTTCCCCCAATTTACAGACCCGACTAAGTGAGTAAATGCTTCCCACAAGTATTCGCAGGCCGTGTCCTCACCGACAGGGCTGTCATTTCAAATCCTTGAGGCCAACGAATTGGAATTTTGTCAAGCAATCGCGGTGACCGCAGGAAACGTACACGCCGCCTCCGGTCACCGAGAGGGTAACCTATTCCGAACATGAATCGTCGCGAGCACCACGCGCGCAGCGTGATTTGGCTGCCAAGCACTGGCACGCGGATTTCAGGAGCACAGCCAAGATGCTTCTCCCATGTACTGGCCGACTCTTTAAGACATGATCAAGCACCATTCGTCACGGCACCGCTCTTCCAGCGCAGTTTCTTGCGAGCAGAACGCTTCTCCGATGTACTGGCGCGATTCAGATGGGCGCCGGGACCCGCCAGGTTCACAGGTCATGCCAGTGTACTGGAATGTGCACGGATCGCGACCGGAGGAATCGTCACGGCACCATGTGTGCAATGCTGTTTTACGATGTGCGGCGACTGTCGCAGCCTTGCCCCGTGCATTAGAATAAATTATAAGTTCGAGTATAAGGATTTGGAGTTCAGCGGAGCCCGGCCAACCCCGTTTTATACAGCGTCGCGCAATGGAATGGGCCCAGATGACCGAAAAACCGTTACAACTCTTCTGTTTTGGATTGGAAGCAGGCTTTCGACTCTCTCCGCCACACCGCCACGACCACAGCCCCAAAGCGCTTCGGCGTGGCCGAGAATTTTTCTTTGCATCATAGAAGCCTTTACCTAGCACCCGTATTCGGGGTGGACGCTTGGCAGAGGGAAGGTGTGGAGGGCAAAGTAGGCGCAGAGATTGTGAATAACGTAGACGACAAGCTCCTATCCCACGGGGTCCCCGCCAATACTTGGTCTTTAGCTTCGAAAGTTAAAAAGTTGCGGGAACTCGACCATGTCTGGCAGACGTTAACCTCACACCTTCCACTACTATCGTCCCTGTATGGCTTAGATTCAGTTTCACTTGCACACAAAAATTTGACCGCCATCCTTCCGATTTCTTGCCAGGGTGAGGGGAACTAAGCGGCAGAATATTCCCGCATCCCAAACACGAAGGTGTGGAACCAGGCGGGTAAACCACATCGCGCGGCGCGGGGGAGTACTCGGCACAAGATGCTGGTGGGGGTATACAGTATACCTTTATGGTAGCACAAATCCGGTTCGCCACGTAGTTTTTTCGGCACTAAGACACCGTATTCTTGCATACTGGTTCAAAAGTAGCATTCAAAGGCAGTATCCAGGCTTATCAGGTATACTGTAGGGTCACTGTTTGGGCCGCACTGTACATTCGTAGAGCTCGGCCGAACCCTGCGACGATCAAAAGGGTGCCAAAGCGTGCAAGACAGCATGTATGGCCTTAGCAAAAATTAGTTAGAGTAAGAGATCACCGGCAACCTTCAACCACCATGCCTTCGGGAAAAAAGCGGCCCAGAGGAAGCGAAGGGTTTTCGGCGGGACTGGACCATTGAGGATTTTCGGAAATCCACAGAGATGGGACGTTTTCGCGTTTCTGGTGCCATTTTCGTGGAGTGCTCAAACCAGCCTGCGCTGGAGGAAGCTAAGTGGATATTGCGGCTAATGGAGGAAAGGGATTGCCCCATCGTGGGACTTGTTGCCAACATCTGCTTGCAGAAAGGAGCCTCGGAGGTGCAGGAATTTTTGGACCGGCTGCGTGACACAGAGGGCATGCTTCCGAAGGGGTTGAAAGGAGCGCGATGTGTGTGCATGATGTGGGAAAATCAAGCAGATGACGCCTGCTTGGATTCTCGGTTTCTGGAGGGGCTGGATTGCCTTGGCAGGTTTGGTTTGATCTGGGAGTTTTGCTGTGAGCCCAGAATGGCTCCTTACCTTTCGGCCTGCATCGCGCGGTTTCCACATATGGTTTTCGTCATTGACCACTTAGCTCACAACGGAAATCGGGGAGGTGAGATGGAGGTTTGGGGCCCGGCGATGGACAGCCTGGGCAAGTTGAAGAACGTCTATGTGAAGCTGGGGGCCTCTGAACAGTGGGATGTGCCCAATCCTGCAGACTTCTTGGATCGGGCGGTTAAAGCCTTTGGCTTTGACCGTCTCCTCTACGAGTCCAACTGGTTTGTAAACGAGGCCATGGGAGATTCCTACGACAAGACTGCTGGCCTTGTGTATGACGCGTGCATGCGAGCACACGCCACGGAGGCGGAACTGCGCAAGGTGTTCCATGACAACGCATGCAAAGTGTGGCTTGGCTCTCACGAAATTCGTTTTATTTGCTTTCGAAACCACTTATTTGCTGTTACGGGTCGAGCTTCGCGAAGGTACCAGCTCGACGCTTGAGATGACTCCTGTTCTTGTGGTGTTGAGTCGAGCTGTCTTCAGCCTTTGCTGCTGGCTTCCCGTCTGGGAGCAAGGAGCTGTCTTCAGACTCTGCTCAATGGAAAACTGCCATGATACATGGAAATTCTTGAATTGTCCTCCCTGCTCTTGTCCTGGCAAGCTCCAAACATGCGAATGCTTTCGGAGGCGATGCTCTCGGAGGTGGCTGCTGCCATAGTACGTGATTTGGCTGCATGGGGCAGCTTCTGCATGGAGATAGTGTGGGCTTTGACATGGAGAGGATAACAAGCAAAACACGATAGTGACATAGTTGATGCCGTGATTGCTTCCAGACGGAGCACTTCCGGTATTAAAGTTGTGCTACTGTACTACTGCGAAGCACTTGCTGTACGAGAGTACCAGAGTTTGCTAGAAAAATACCACGATTAAGGAAGCCCAGCCAGAATCGGACAGCAAGCCTTTCCAGTGCTATGTGTAGCATCAGGATGGGTGAGATGGCTGGTTCATGAGAAAACTATGACAATAAGGAACCACAGCCCATATGCGGGACAAGAAATTTTCAAGGTCTGCCCCGCAACCCACATGGGGGCCCACGCATGCTTGCTTTAAACCGGGCGCTGGATTCAAGCTGTCATTTTTTTGTCCATTTGGCGCTTTTGGCGGTTTTCGTGTTTTAAGATAGGTTCCTGCGCTCGGTTTAGGGTTGGCTGGGTTTGAAGCATTGTTGTGAGCTCGTTGGTCTGAGGGTAAAGATCGCTCACGGATGTAGAAGACTGGGTGTAAGGGGTCATGATGTTCGACTTTACGCATTTCCAGAGGCATGGATAGCTCGTTGAGCACCTTGCAACCCGTAGTGTCTTAAGTTCTTGTATCTAAACCCCAAGCCGGCTCATTTTTTTTGGGGCTCGGGTATAGCAGGTTTTACAGAGGAATGGAAACAAAAAGCGAGCCAAAACAAGAAATGTTTGGATGCCTGAGGGAACCCCCAAAATGGTTCCGGATGCTACCCTTACTAGGAACAATTTGTGACCCCTTGAATCCAGCGCCTGTCGCCCCTTTTTCTTAACTCCCGCTCATTTCAATCCCGATCTCAGCCGGGCTACAAAAGCTTCAGCCGAGGCGTTCACAGCTTGACCTTGGCGGATTCCGTGAGCATGCAGTGTTTCAGCCGTGGGCTAAGATGTTCAAAGCGATTCAAGCTCTGAGGGCAGGCAGCTTTTTCGACCAGGCCAATCTGGGCCGTGCCGTGTGTGCCGCATGCAGCCCAGGTGGCAGCTTTGCGCGGCCAAGCACTGCTGAAAACCAGGAGGTTTTGGAGCTGGGAGGGACCGTGCTCGAGAAAGTTTGACACATCAAGCCGCAAGGCGCAGGAGCAGGAACTCGCAGTGCTGTGGGCCGGCCTGGATGCCATACGTGCGAGTCTAAATCAAGTTTTTCGCTGGGATGCTGCGTGCTTGTCGGTTGCGTGGAGTTTTTAGGCCTGGCCAGAGAGCAGTGTCTCGACCCTGCTCGAGCTGCTCGTGAGGCGATCACAGTTGCTAATAGTTGGATTCGTTTTTTCAGCTGCTGTTGGCCAGGACAGGGCCAGGGCGGCCGACCCGCCCTTGGCTCAGATTCTACGGGGTGCCTCTGGTCAGCAAGAAGTTTTGGAAACGAGGCTCGATCCTGCCGTGTCCTTTGCGCCAGTCTTCCGCAAGAGCCTTAGCGAGGTATGTTGCGGAGAATCCCTCGGCCGTGTCGCGTCGCGCGACGAAGCCAAGCTCTGGATTAGGAACTTAAAGGATTTGGAACATACTTGTTTCTACCTTTCCATATCAACCGGTACGGGTAGCTTCAAGATGACACTCCTGGTCGTTCGAGGCCGCACCGATGCTTTGCAAATGGGTGCAGCGGCATCACCCTCAGATAAGACCGTGGCTGCAGCACTTTGCACTCAGCTCTCCAGGAGTGGGCTCCAGGCGGGGTCAGTCTGAGAGCGAGGCTGTCTGAGAGCTGAGGAACTGGGCCACGTCTTATGGCTGCCGACTCGGTCGGTGCTGCCGCCACTGTGTTATGCCGTTATGCCGCATCTTCTGCTTCGCCGAAGTCGCGTCCCTGTTCTGAAGGATTTGGGTTGTGCCAGGCTGCCGGGGAGGTGTGGCTTCGCCGGGCAAAGGGACTGATTCTTCCGACCTTTATGGGTCGCAGCCTTGGCTGGTGAGCGCTCCCTATTTCTAGTTCAAGAATCCTCTAAGACTCTAGGAGGCTTTGGGAGCTGCGGTTAGGTGACTAGTGCGAGCCTGTGCTTGTGCGTGTGCTTTTCAATGATTACCTGTTACCTTTGTTTGTGCGTGTGGGAAGTTGGTTTGCTGGATCCTGCCCAGGCCTCACAGCAAGCGAGCCGGCACGGGGCGGGCTGGAGGCGTGCGCAGCACATCCTCAGACATTTTCAGACCTGCACGCCGCTGCAATCCCCCTAGCTCCTGCTGTTTCGGGAGGAGCACATGCATGACCTGGGCGACGACGATGGGCAAGCAGAGAAGGTTTCGGCTCATGTTTTTTTGCTGCACAGCTCCAATCACTCCTGATGTCTTTAGCTAGATTTGCAAAAACTGTCAGTGCGAAGCTTAGACTATCTGCACAGAGGCGACGGTGCTTCCGCCGCCCTCCCGGTCCGGGGCTCGGTGAAGGGCAAGCCCTTTCGTGCAGAGATGTCTTCAATCAGGCAGTCTGGGCGCCCGTGCTTTGTGGCAGGGGCCTCTGAAGGTGGTAGTCTGCCTGAGAGAGATCTGTACACTGTTCCCCTCAGATCGTAGAGGAGCTGGTCAGGATGGGACACTCTAGAATTACATGGATTCAGGTGGCCGTCCCGGCAAGTGGCCAGGCATCTCCTGAGCCTTGCCTTTTTGTTTCTCCTTCTGCCTTCATGTTCGGCTATTCCGCAGGCTGGTGGATGGAACGAGTGCCTTCTCCTGTGGTAGGCTCAGTACGAGCTATCGGAGCGTCGAACGTTGACAAGCTTCTGCCCTCCTGCGACCGATACAAGATGATACAAGTCTTATATTCTAAGTTGAGCTGCATGGCATTGTCACCACTGCGAAGGCGTGAAGCCTTCTTAACGGAGCTTGGCTGCGTCTGGGCCTTTATTTCCGAGAAACGGCCGCTGTTGGGGACCCCGGCATTTTGAGGCTCAGCCTGGCATCGAAAGTCTTGCCGTAGATCGAGTGGCGGCGACCTGGCCAACGTAGCGACCAAATGCTAAGCTGCTAAACAGTGGTTTACTAGTGGAAATCGTTTGTGCAACACAGCAATGATGGTTCTGTTGCAGGGCTGTTCTTCCGAATCACGGGTGGCACAACATCACTGCAAGGAGCGCCTGGTGTCGCGTCAGCTTTGGGAGGCTGTGGCTCACTTCACGAAGACTTGCATTCTGTGACGGCATTCCTTCAAAGAGTCATTTCTGTTTTCCTCAGCTTCACCATTGGCTAACTCTGCATGCGGACATGTGTTTTCGGAGCCGGTTCATGTGCTTATTTAGCAGGTATCGCAGGAAGGCACAGAAGGTACAGGATAGTGTGGTGTTTGTACGGGTTTCCGGTGTTCCCCTGTATGGGAGGTGGTCTGTTTCTTATAAGCCTCTCGCAAGCCTCCCATAAACCTTCGATAGACCCCTCAACCTGGCATGCCTTACATAGAAGGCAGCACACAAGCCCATCGTCTTACACACGAGCCCTGAATGAAAGCGACCATGAACTTGCATAGCCACACAGAATCGTAAAACTACGTTTTCCCATGCTGCTCCTCAAACACCGCCCATAGCATACCCATAGGATAACCGTATGGACGCAGTATGGAAAGCTTATAGGAACGGCATTCAGTATGCAAGCGGAACAGCACTCTCCCATGCAGGGAACACCTGAAGCCCGAACACCTGCAGGAACCCCCGATGATGTTTTTATCAGGTGCCCATGGATCGCTACTCGTATTAGCTGCCACATGCTGCCACCAGCGAAGGCCCCTAACAATTCAGTCTTGTTGTTTGGCTTGCTACAGGCGCTTGCCAAGTCCATGGAGCTTCGGAGGCACGCGAGGCGCCCAGATTCTAGCCTTGGCGGTCATAAATTCTCGCATCTGGCTTGCCAAAATGCGTCGCAACTCTGGGATTGAGGCAGCTCGAGTTTTTCGGGAGAACCACGGCTGGCTGCCTGACTTGGAGGCTTCCTTGTCTGGGATCAACAGCTATGAATTTGTCGCTGCCTGGCTGTCCGAAGATGTTCTGTCGTAGGCTTTTTTGCTAACCTGGTTTCCCAAGAGCTTGCATCGTGCATAGTCAACGGCAGATGAGCACTTTAGCAGCCATGTAGTGGTTGTCGATGGTGTTGCCTGTTGCAGCCCAGTGTCGCTGAAATCAAGTGTTTGTCGGTCAGGTCCAACCACGCCAAGATCAGCCAGGCACAGGGAATTACGTGAGTAAACTGAAACACCTGGGACACCGGGAGCTGTTGCAGGCTCGGGCCAGCGCATCAACAGCTTCTTTCGCCGCGGTGCCTTCGAGCCGGTGGTCGGTGGGACTCCTGACAGTTCATGGCGAACAGACAGTTGCATCCTTCTCGAGCACCAGTTAAGAGTGCTTTCAATTGCAAGATCAAACTCATGCTTGTGCAACATACAGGTTTAGCAGCACCTAGTAACCCAGTAGATTAGTAGATCCTAACAAGCGGAAGTGTCGACTCTGAGCAGGGGAAGGCGGACTTCCCTACGTGGACGCAGGATACTCAGCAATTTAACTGCAGTTGAAACCCCTGTTCTGCTTGCATGAGAAATGCGTTGTTCATATTCTGGCGGCTGTGATGCGTACTTTCTCCCTAATTGAATTCTAGGTTGCAACCTCATGAGTTTAGAGTGGGACTATCTTACGCCTTTACATCCTGTTGTTAAACCTGGCAGCTGTGGCACATTCCACCTCGACATGCTGACTCGAACGAGCAAATGACTTAGTGCTTCTGCTGCTGCCGTTCATGTTTGAGACAGCGAAGAATGCCGATGCGTTGTAACTAGTAAGCAGTATGAACATGTAGGAAGTGCATGCGCAAACCGGTTCAATTCAACGGATTTCCATGCTCAGCTTCGAGGCAGAGCCCAACTGCCAGTCGCTCCTGGAGCTTCTCAGGCAGGAACTGCATGTTCTCAGAAGCTTGCAACTTGCCGCTGGCTCTAGCATGCTGCAGCCTCAGGATTCGCTGCACGCCGGATTTCGAAAACCTGGCCGTGGCGCTGCGGATCTGGGTGGACAAGGACCTCGAAATGAGAGGTCGCTCGCAGTTTAGGAATGTCGGTGGGTTTCCAACACCACTGGACCTGTATCTTTGGAATGCCACTTAAGAACAGAAGGCGATTCGTTTCTCATAGCATCGAGCTTCAGGCATAGATGAGTGTCACTGTGGGAATCCCATGCAAGAATCGAGAACTTCGTGTAGGAAACATGTCTCTTGCGAGGAGCCGCCGGCGATGTGCGCGCCGAAAGCACTAGTCACTGCTCGCTCGGCACGCTTTTTTGGCGCATGGGAGTTTTTGGCTTTGCAACAAAGCTCAAGACCGGTCTGCGCCTCAGCTGGCATAGAGCAAGCCCCTATGCAGGCCTTGCTGCAGCGAGCCATTGCAGAGAGGCCGGACATTTCTACAAACATCATGCAGCGCCGTGTTGATGTGCAAGAGCCAAGGTTTGCATTCTGATGTGCCACTGTCTAGAAGTAGTTGTCCCTAGCTCAAGCTCAGCTGATAACAAGGCCAGCAGACTCTGTGCTTTCAGCTCAGTTTGTACTGCAGGTACATGTAGTCCAGCCAGCTACTGCGCACCACTTTGCAAATGGATTTGCGGTAGACTGTTTTTGCTAAGCAGCCGCCATGCAGTGATTGAGAGTGTGCCAGGGAGAGCGAGCCTGAACGCAGAGTCTCCAATGTTTTGACGTTACTTTGCTCAACGGGCTTGTCAGAGTTCTGCATGCGCTATGTGAACGTCCGGATCGGCATTGATGACTTATGTTGTGTAACGAATTGTTTGCCCTATCCCGGTTTGGCACTGAAGCAAGTCCAGTCAAGGTTGGCCATTCTGCGCAATCTGATCTTCATCCCAGGCAAGGGCAAGATCAGTGCGCAGGAGGCAGGTTTTGCACGACCTGCCGCACTCACAGGCTTTGAGGCTGTCGCCTGCCCTGTGTGATGCCAGGCAGTCTGGTCGGCTGGGACTGTGGATGGTGATTTCGCTCGCAGGGTTTGTGCATTGGACTTTCCGGCATGGTTCGCGGATTGGACTGCTTGGGCCTTTATGACGAAGAGGGTAGAAGAAGTTGCGTGACAGGCGAGCACTTCGATGCTGGAGGAAGATCCTGTCCTCCCTCTGCTGTGTAGTCGCAAACACGGCGTACGCAGTTTGGAGATGTTTGGAGCCGCTTGTCAGGAGATCTATGGGCAAACACTGTCCGATGCTCGTGCTCACGCCAGTTCCCGTCCAGGAAATTCGTCAAACAGATCGGCATGTTCTGACATCTAGGTGCCTGATGTGCCTGGGCAGTGTAAATGCTAAGGCGAGGGTGGTTCTGCGAGTTTCTGTCTGTCCGCGAGTCGCCTGGCATGCGGAAGACCAAGTGCTGTGGCAGCGGAAGATTGGGATTGTTTGCGATATTTTGCCTTGGTCTGAGAACCTCGCTGCAGGTGGCAGTTGCTGCGAGCTTTGCAGAGGCAGGGACGTGTGCCGGCTGCAGGAGCTTTGGAGGGCGTGTTGGATTCCTCAGGCTGATTCCAAGCCACGCAGGGGGCGAGGGCGATGCCTTAGCTCCGTCGACTAAGCCTAGCCTAAGCTTCCTTCGGCAACTTTATGCTTTGGCCTTAAACCTCGGACTGAGAGTGGATATCAGGATGAATTTTGCCAATGTCTTTCGCTCGCGCTCTGGTGATGAGGCTGAAATAATGATGCAGCTGGAGGAGTACATTCGCGAGTCTGTGGTGCTCGTTGGCATGAGCTTACTACTCTTGCAGTGCTCCTGTGTTCACGACACGACGGACTATTTCTCTAGAAGCTTCGTTGTCTTCAGCCCTAGGCCCCAAGCTATTACGAGCTGTGCCACGTATGCTCCAGCGTCTGCTTCGGCCTGTGCCGCACATTGTATGCGCACTGCAGTTCAACCCCTACAGTAGCGAAGTGTCAAGCGGATATCTGTAAGTCGGTCTTCTAGATGTTGTTAAAGTGGCCAAAGAAGAGTCTGTGCCGATCTCCTGTTCGCAGGAACTGCTATGGAGCGGAACTTGTCCTTTAGGCCTTCTATCACATCTCCCACGCTTCAGCTATTTTATTGCCTTCAGTCGTCCTCAGGTCTTGAAGCTAGGGTCTACCGAGTTTGGACCGTTTACTGCTCTTGGAAAGTCGCGACGAATCGGTTGGTGATGGCGAACAACGTGTCCAACTTCTTGCTTCGCAGTGCTTCGCATGATACCAAGAGTGCCTCCGAGGGTTCGCTCGGAACTTCGAACGATTCCTGCGCCCTGCGCAACGGTACTAGCATTGCACCGAAGCCAGGATATTGAGGAAGAGCCTACGCAAGTGGAGCACGTGGTTTTCCTAATTTTCAACGTAGTCGGAGAAGTAGTCTAAAGAACCACAAGCATTCCTGACCTTCTGGATCATCCACAAATGTCCGATTGCCCGCACCATGCATCACACCAATGTGCACAATGTCCATAGTTTCAGATCGACCAAGATGCGTTTATCTTGAACGAGATTTATAGTCAGGATTCCTGAACAGAAACTTAGAGACACGAATCAGTCTCGTGCCTTACGTTTACGCATCTCTGATATCTCTCTTCCATCGAGTAATCTCGGGTACGACCCAACCAGAAGCCTGCAGATGAAGCCAAGCGCGAATGCAAAGGTGTATCACTTGCAATTCTCGATCTCGAACCATGTGCAGATTCAGCGGCGTCTTGCCTCCCACCTATTCCTGTCAATACCGCGGCCACGAACCTCTAACGCGAGCCTTTGCGCTTTGCATTCGTGGGCAAGCAACCACAGTGGCTCTGCGGCCAATCTCCCCAGGCTTTGGACATGCCGGGACACAACACAGCGTGATATTATATCTGAACAAAGTCATGAGAATGCGACGCACAGCTGGCTTCAATCAAGTGAAGCCTCAAGCGCATCGCAGCAGCAAGATGACTTCCAGTAGCAAATGCGTGGCACAGGCTCACGAGAGCTGTGCTGCACGATAGAGGAGAAATGCTTGGACACAGTGTTCAGAGTCAGACATTGCATTGTCTATCTCCGTGGCCGTGCTCGGCAACTTCCACAGACATTGTGCAACTCAGTGGCGCCTTGCAGCACAAACGCAAGCTGTGGCACTAGTTATGGTCCTTGGTGTCAGCCCGGCCGTGGCGGTTTCTTTCACTCAGACACCGCGTGACAGCGTGAACTTGTGGGCGGCAGGGCCTTGCTTCTGACTACCCAATGCAACAGAATGTCAAACATTTTTTTCGCTGAACCTCTCTCTTCCGTTTTGGGTAGTCGTAAGACAAAACAAATCAGACGAGTATGAAGCCCACTTGGAAGCACCATCCATCAACACCCCGAGACAAGCATGCTGGGGCAAGCGCAGCTTCACAACCACATACCTGATATATACGTGATAAGGAGTGAACCCCCTCGAGTTTTTCCCACTTCATACATCCGAAGAACATCAGTGTGAGAGCTGTAGCAGGCACATGGACAATCTGAAACAACTGTCTCCAAGACGCTCGGCACCATGGTGCCACATACCGTGCTCCCGATGCGTGCAAAGTGTCTGGCAGCAAAAATGCTGAATGGTTGCTGCACGTTAGCATCTGGAAGCTCAGAGAACTCTTTTGCTCTGACACTTGTGCCAGGTCGGTGATGGTCAGCACAGCCGGCTTAAGCGGCGACGCACGGAGGACGGTTTGATGCCAAGCCCATCCGCTTCAAGAGTTGTCAACGTCAGAGAAATCCATACTGGGGACCTTGGCACTCTCTGGGTAGCATCCTGGAAGCGATCAAGGTCATTCATTGATAGAGACGGTGGAGTCCAAGTTTCAGTCGCGACGGCTGCTCGGCAGCTCTTGATTTATGGCATGCTTTGGTTTCAAACTGCTGCTTCGAGTGACAGGCTGATCATACTGCCGCAGACACGAAACCGGTCGGGCCCTTCCTAGTTATGACTTGCCACCTTGCGGTTGTGCTGAGATTCTCTTACAGGCCTTGGAAGTTCCTCGCAACCGCACAGGCCTACTGGTCAGCTTGGCACCCAGTGGGCTCAAGCTCCGACGTTTGGGGTCCCAGCAGAATGTTGGAACATGCCTTCACGGAAACGTAAACATCGCAAGCCATTGCAAGCGGCGACACGACTTCAGCGCAACAGGGATGCCCGATAGATGTCGCTGTGCTCGTAGTGGATCAACATGTCATGCGATCAGCCAAAGCATCAATCACATCAGCGTGACTGGGTGATGCACCCGGTTGGCAGTACATTGAGGTCGATGATGAACTCTCCGAGTTGTCCGGTGCTTACGGTAGCTGGAGGAATGCATCTGAAGCCAGACCAGTAAAGAGTCGCCATCAGGCCGTGCAGCCAGTTCGCGTTGAAGAACTTCTACGGAGTCCAGGTCAAAACGTCACGACCCTGGATGCAGTAGATGTGTGGAAGTGAGCTTCGGCTTATGCGCACGACTGCTGAATGTGGCGACATAGATCAGAACTTGCAGGCGCAGCGAGGAGTGTGGAACAGGCGCAGCAGCTTTCTGGCAGCTCCGTGGAAAAACTTCCCAACTGTAGAGTGGAGGCTTGGCAATCATAGACTTGAAAGACTTTTTTGTCCAGGTGGGTCGGCACGGGAAGGGGAGATGGTAGGAGGGAGGGACAGTGCAGTCTTCCCAGGTCCTCGGAGTCAAAGAGGTGCTGACAAGGGAGGAGCGGAGCAGCGAGCGTCACGGCACTGCTCTGCTCACCGTCGCTTCCAGGAGCTGGCTCGGCGACTGCAGCCCACAGACAGGCGACCCAAGCGTCCAGAGCCCAGAGCCCGCAGCGAGTCAGCGATTTAGTGTCAGGCCGCAGCGTCCACCACAGGCCTGTGGGCAGTTGCTAGGGCTTGCTACTAGTAGGGGAAAGCGATGTGAGGTCCATGAACTTGACTCGGGGCACTCAACAGCACTCGCCGTTTGCAGGTCCGACCTGACAGAGCTGCGGTTTCTGGGGAGGCAGTGAATTTTGACTACTTGCCGATGCGCAGTCTGGCATTGCAACATCAGTGAGCGTTGCTATGTAAGCAGCACTAAGCAGCAGTAATGCGAGGCTGCGAATGCCAACATGGATGCAGACTCCGACGTCAGCAGTGAGGTGTGGAAGTTTCTGCCGTTCGCTGACGTTCGCTGGGCAGAAGCGGGTGGACCTCACTCATGGTTCGTACATGGGGGGAGCATCATCTCATCAGACTGCGTTTCTTACAAGCGCATCCGAATATTTGATAGTTATCGCCGCATTTCTGTAAATAGACTATGTGACCATATGCTGCGTGCGAAAGCCTTGACCTCCAGAGGACGACGCAGGAGTTCGCGAGGCGCGGAGCATAGCGGAGGCATTGTACGGATTTCGCACTCCGTGACCACGTCTGGGCACTTGAGAGCCTGAGAGGATGACGGAGCCTTGGACTTGGAGGCCTTGAAGCCCGGGCTGGAGATTAGAGACTCTGTTGCTGCCTGTTGTAGGATCTTCTCGGCGACGAAGCGGGAGCTCTCAGCATCTTGCCGGAAGCTGAGAACAGCATGGACGATGATCACCAGTCACGTACCTCCCTGCAAGCAAGCCCATGACTCGTCGCTGGTCATCCGGCATAGCGTTCCAAAGACAAAGTATCCCGGGCTAGTATGGCTTGCCGAATCCCGCGATAAAATGACCCTTTAGGACATCGCACATTCCATTTCATAGGAATTAACCCACCCATTTCACGGGGCTGATATCGGAAGAGGATCTCAGCAGAAAAGACAGGACCCCGAACAGGATCCGCACGGCTAAAACATGCACCAAATCCATTTTAAATCTTGAGAGTCTGAAATCATCCCCCTACCATACACGTACACGTGCATGCACACATACATGCAGACACAGTTTGTATGTGCATGTATACACAGAGATACACATACATGTCTCTCTCTCTCTCTCCCTCTCCCTCCCTCCCCCTCTTCTTGTGCAGCACGTGGAGGCTGTGTCTTACTGAGGCCGCCAGGGGCCGCACGAGGAGGGCGTCGGGGCGAAGCTTCGCAGAGGCAGGGCCAAAGACGAATGACGGGATGCCGAGATGCTTATGGGGTACACATTCCATGTATTCTGGGTTCGGTCGGGGTGCGTCGGAAAATGGAGCATCATGGAACCCTCCAGGTCGGCAGCGGCGCCTGGGGTTGGGACCCCAGTTCGAGAACAAAACAGAGAGAGCGATCCAGTATTAAGTCACTGTGCCAGGCACATGATATGGATGTCGATGACAGGAGCTTGGTCTGGTGTTTTGCTGGTTGTGAGTTGCTAAAGCTCCATGTAAGATCCAAGTAGCCCTGAGGCTGCAGCGATGAGAAACCTCCTGGCCCGCTGCTGTCAACGCACTCGTGCAGCGCAGCCTGCGGAAGCCTGGCCCCTGCAACAGCATCGAGAGATATCCAGAGCGCAAGCTTCTTGAGAGAAGAGGTGCTGTACTCCGGCCCGGGTGCTGGGCAGCAGGCATCTGCCACCGCAGAGGCCACCTGGGCTTTGTTTTCAAACAACTGATGCATGAAGCCAGCAATGACAACTTTCGACAACAGTATACAACCGCTGAATGAGTTTGTGTTACAGAAACACTTCGTGGAGCACAGGAAGTCCAGGTGGCAGCTTTAGGCACAGCCCGGACGGCCTGCACACGGCACGGCACGCACACCATTCACTGTACGCGGCAGATGCAAAGCAACGCCTTGCACGCAACACTACGCGACGCAATGCCAGCCCACCCAACTCACCCTCTATTCTCACTCTCACTCACTCCCTCACTCACTCACTCACTCTCACTCACTCTCACTCACTCTCACTCACTCTCACTCACTCACTCACTCACTCCACTCCACTCCACTCCACTCCACTCCACTCCACTCCACTCCACTCCACTCCACTCCACTCCACTCCACTCCACTCCACTCCACTCCACTCCACTCCA